TATATCTACTATATATAATCTCTCTCATAAAATTATTGTGATGTAATGTTTAATGTTTTGTATTATTCATACATATTTTTGTAGATATAATTACTAATATTTTTTAGACTTTAATATATATTATTCTCATGTAGTATTTCGTATATTTTAAACATGTTGTGTATATATGTGTGGGTGTTGAACTTTGTTTTAGACATGTTTTACTTATAAAATAATTTAGAAAGGTGACCTCACATTTTTTCGAAATAATATAGAATATTATAGATAATCTTACACATGTTGTACAACAATTTACTGCTTTTAATATTTTAAACATACATGTGTGAAAACTTTTTATATATTTTCAAGCTGAACAATTTTTAATTGGATAACTTTCCTATGTGTGACAACTTTTTATTTAGTAAATTTATATATATATATATATAGATATAGATTTTTCATAGTAGGTTTATATTTTGTGTATACGAAAACAAAAAATCGATTTACTATACAAAATTTTGAAAATTTTCCTTTTAAAAACAATTGACAAAAAGAATACCAATAAAGAGAAAAAAAGATTTGTATATATCTCATATAAAATCGTTCATTTTCAAAATGCTACATTGAAAAACATATTTAAATATTAATATAAATTCATATTTTGTGTATATGAATGTCAATCCAAATTGTTAGTTTTAAATAATATGATAAAATAAAAAAGAATCATCACAAATGAGAATTCCAAAATTGATACCATGTAAATTTAAATATTACTATATAATAATTTTTTTGTGTATCTAACATATATGCTTATCCAAATCAATGATTCTAATAAATTTGGTAAAATAAAAAAAGAATCCTCAATAAATGGGAGTTCCAAAATCGGCTACATATAATTATTTACATACTCTTTGCCTACAAAGCCACTATCAACGTATTAAAGGAAATCAAGAATTGACTAAAACAAACACAAACCGAAAGCCGATTTATATGAAAATTATTCAATTAGTGATTTATTTTTTATTTATATCATATTATATTATTTCCATTTATAGTAGGTAATTAATGTATTGGACGAAAAATGCTCATAAAATGTTCGGGTCTGAAAAAATCATGTGTTGTGGAAAAACTCAATTTTAAACAACATTATTAGTTTGATTATTGGGCAATTTGTTGTTCCCACGAATTAATATTTTCAACATTTTCTATTTGTAACACGCGAAATTGCAACATATAAGCGATCATGACTAAAAACATGTTTCTTCAAATATGCAAACGTGCGATAAAGACTGACATTCACTGTTGTTTATCGTCGTGACAAAATAAATGAATATTTATCTCAAAAACTTAATCTTTGAAATGTAGTGATCGTGTGTTATTGTTTAATTTCGGGATTGATGGACTCTTTTATTAATTAGTTAGTTTGGTTCAATGTATAACAAATTTTGTCGTCAACCGTTATTAGAGTTCTTATATTAATTTGTGTAAATGCATAAATGAAAAGAGACCTAAACTATGTAAAAATTTTCATCTTTTGAAAGCAAATAAATGTTAAACATTATCTTTTGAAATAAATAATGACAATGATTATAACATTGTATTGTCAAAACCGATAAGGTATATAAAATTTATTTTTCTTGTATTGTCAAAATCGATAAGGCAAATAAATGTTAAATATCATCTTTTAAAAAAGTCCATTTATTATAATAACAAATATAGAAATTACGTTTAGAATTTTATCATATAACTATTTAACCTATTTATGATAATAAAATCCATATTCAAATATAAATGATCGGGTGTATTTACATCACAGTACAATTTATAGAAACACAATTAATTGGTTATAATAATTGATGTACGTGATCGTGTGCATTTCTGGTTCAAATATCTTTTGTTAATGGAGCCACAAAAATCGGAAATAATTAAGAGCGATTTTAGGTAATTTTGTTAATTTATTATTTTTAGGCAATAATTAATAAAATTGGCGGAAAATAGTTTTGAATTATGTTAATCTTTATTATATATTAATAAATTATTCAAAAGGAAGAAAAAAACATTGAACAACGAAGTGAAGGTGAAATCTATGTCCGAAATTGGCATGCTTGACTTTTGGAGATCCATACTAATCACTCCAGTCGCCACCGCCATAGGCCTTGTAGTGGTCGGTCGACATCACCCGGAGCCTCTTGTAGCCGGAACAGTAACATACGCTATTACAGGACATAATCTTATCCGCACAGTACAATCCCTTCACCAAATACCAATTTAATCATATCTCATCTCATAAAACAAACGAGCCCTTAAGCTATACCACCATTGGCATGATTTATTTTTGTCAAACTCTTTTTTTGTTCTGCCATGTACAATGAGGAGAATACTAAACAAATTTCATCACTTTTTATTCCGCGCTACGTAAGGTACAAGTGTGACGTGATGACATATGCTGAAAGAATTGCTTCATTTGAACTTTTTATCATTTTGAATAAAAAAAAAAAGAACAATTATATTTAGTAAATGTGTTTGCATTTACTTTTTAAGTTTAGAATGCAATTTGTCATGTTATTTGATATTGAAGATAATATAATGGACAAATCTATCAGTAAGATTATAGTATATTTTGAGCTAGTCATCTTAACTAATAGGCAAAATTGCGGCTAATATCATGACCTTTATCGAGATTGCAAATTAATCATAACCTTTTAACTTTTCCATAATATATCACGTCCTTCAATTCTTTGCAAAACGGTACATGCGCTGCCCCAACTCGTCTGACGTGGCACTCAAAATGCCAACGCACCTGCTGATGTGTATTTAACAGACGATTTTTTTGCATAATTAATCACAACCTTTTAAATTTTGCATAATATATCACGCCCTTAAATTTCTTTGCAAAACGATACACGTTTTCATCTGCTACACCAACTCGTATGATATGTATTTAACAGATAATTTTTTTTTTCCATCTCATCCCTGGATGAGATGAGGGGGAAATTTTGGAACCCTTGGGGATATATTAGGCTAGAGCTAGAGATTTTGGAACACGAAAAGATTCAAACACCAGGTCGTCTCTCAAGGAAGGTTAGTCGAATTACTTTGCACGTGTATTCAATCACACGAAAAGAGAAAACAAATCCGAAACACTCTAATTCAATTGTTTTTTGTTTTGATTATCAACTACAAATTCTAAAAATAAAGCAAGACACACTTCAAATTCCAAATGGAGTTCAAATAATGATTGGTGAGTTAGGGAGTCGGAGATATTCGTTTATGGTTCTCAAGAAATCAATTAGCACGCAACCGCTCGGTTAAGAGCTCAAATAACATACTCGTTTAGAGGCTTGTTCTCAATAACTCTTCGTAACGATCAATTATAACATATAGACAATCTATTAACGAACAAGCCTATTCTAATCGAGCCGAGATCAATCAATTTCTCCCCTTCCGGTTCTACAAATTGATTAACTTGATTAAAATGATGATCAAACATCTAACCCCAAATTAAGCACAACTCGAAAAGATTGAACGACAAACACGTACGCACGAATTTCAATCGAACCAAAACAAATATCCCCTATCCCTAACGAAGCGATTTAGCCACACATATTGATATCAATCCCAACAAAAGATTCAACATAATAAATCACTTCCATAATCAAATGAAAGGAAATTATTATTAATCCAAGTCGAGAATAAAATCGAATTACAAACCAAACCGTGTTCGTTATGGAGTGCCACAATATCCAAAACTCGAATCCAAGCAAAATCCAAAGAAAACCAAGTGAAAGTTGTTGAGAGAATGAGTTTTGAGATGAAAAAAAAAAAAGATAAAAGTCTCAATAATCTGTTTTCTCTCCAGCCCTAGCCTAATATATCCCCAAGGGTTCCAAAATCTCCCCCTCATCTCGTCCAGGGATGATGAGATGAAAAAAAATCATCTGTTAAACCATGTATCGTTTTGCAAAAAAATTTAAGGGCGTGATATATTATGCAAAAGTTAAAAGGTTGTGATTAATTATGCAAAAAAAACACGTCTGTTAAATACACATCAGCAGGTGCATTGGCATTTTGAGTGCCACGTCAGACGAGGTGGGGCAGCGCATGTATCGTTTTGCAAAGAATTGAAGGATGTGATATATTATGCAAAAGTTAAAAGGTTGTGATTAAGTTGCAATCTCGATAAAGGTCATGATATTAGCCGCAATTTTGCCTAACTAATAAATCTATCTATATATATATAAAAAGGTTTGATTATTTTTTAAATAGTAACTATTTCCCGCCAAAAAAATATTGTTTACTAATTATGGAAACTATTTAAACACTTTATGGTATGTTTCAAAAATACAATTTAGGTAATAAATCACATAAAAAATTATTTTGTATCTCAAGATATTCATATCATATGTATGTACATATACATTATATATTTGTACCTAAAATATCGAGATCTATCACATTCCTAACAAACATTAGATTTACTTATATATTTTTAAATTAATCACATAAATAAATAATATTAGTATACATTAAATATTTATTATTATATAAAAAATGAATATTCTATAAATGTTATAAATAATATTGACATTATGCGACAATAAATTTTTGAATAAAATAATATTTGAATATTATCATGAACCAAAATATGTAAATTATTTTTTTTGTATTAAAAATAAATATATATGTTAAAATGTTATTTATATTAATATAAACAGATTAACAGGCTAATACATTGTTAAAATAAAGTTTTGCAAAAAATATTTTTGTTACGAAATCCCCGTGCATCGCACGGGATTCTAACTAGTTATAATAATACACTTTATGTGCATTAGACAACGGATGATAAGTATTATACTAATACACTTTGCGTCTGTTCAAGTGGACTACGAAGGATAATAATAATGGGCTTTTGTACTCAGTATATATTCCTTACACCCCTTTGAAATCTATTCGTTGAGTAGGCTCGGTAAGTTGGAGAGTAGTATTTTTTATATGGTGTGTTGTTGATTATACTCGGTTACTCAGTCATGGCGCCAGGGTATGACGTCCCTATAATAAACTCAAAAGGATTATTATTGCAAAACAACGACATATTAATAAATTTGAATGATACTAATTTCTGACATTACTAAATTTGAATGATACTAATTTCGACAAAACCAAGATGAGTTGATTTAATTAATCAATTAATGATAGTAAGACATCTTAATCTTAAACACTGAGAGATAAAGCGACTACAAGTGAACCATGTAATTTGGGTTTTGGAAAATGTAGTTCAACAATAAATCTTTAGTGGACTAATTTATTATTGATGCATGGGCCAAGGAGTATGGTGGATCATAACCCAAATATTATCATTATTTTTTCTATTAGAAGATGATGTAGCGAATGCGGTCCCTGGATACCAACTGATGTAGAGAAAAGCGTGAACGAATGGGAAAAGATACAATACGAGACTCTCTCGAACTCGGGATACTCTCTCGAAAGAAACACGATCAGTTCATATTCTTTCATCAAATTCTCCTCCATTACCAAAACAGAAGAGCCCTTTAAATAAAAGCTCAAACTCAACCCTAGCTTAACATCCAAGCAACTAATAATAATAATAATAATAATAATAATAATAATAATAATAATAATAATAATAATAATAATAATTTTAAACATATATATTCTTCATCAGACCTAATCATTACCTCCTAAGGTCCATGTTGTAGGATCTAAATAAACCACATGGAGGTCATTCTCTTCAGTGCTACTACCGTGTGTCTTGGCACACCTAGCAAGGTGTGCCAAGACAGTTTAAAATGAACATGTTTCATTACAAAATGAACATGTGTAAATATGTTTACACATGTTCATTTTGTAATGAAACATGTTCATTTTAAAAAAACTTTGGCACACCTTGCTAAGTGTGCCAAGGCACACCTAATTATTTGCGCATTCTCTTGCTATAAACACTCAAAATCACGCCACCCTCACAAGAGAGACAAACGAGAGAGATAGAGCGAGCAAATTAGTAGAAGAAGTCGACCGCACGAGTTGGGGAGATCTTCGCCCACACAACAACCCAGATGAAAAATATACAACAGTCCAAAGGTGATCAAGGCAATCTGTTCGTGCCGTCCCGTAGACCGCTAGAAAGTCAGCCATAAACCGTAAGATCTTATTCTTAAACTCTAGAATTCGTTGTACTTAGAATTAATTTTAAATTTTAATTAACAATTAACGGACGTTCTTCACCAAACCCAACATGAAACGACCTCAAGAAAACATTTATTTAAGTCGTGATGACAAAATCCAGGTGAAGTATTATTCCCTTGATTTTATGCAAGATACTCTATTTAGTTGATTGGGTTAGTAGTTGTTAAATTGTTATGGGGAAGAATCATTGTTTTGTGACCCGGACAGCCCGGCGGGTCGACTCGGGACTCGATCGACTCGGAGCCAAAACCAGTTCAGATGGGCTATTTGGACCGGGTAACAATGGACCTGGTCAAACCCGGTCAAACCCCGGCCAATCCGACCTTGACCCGGTCGACCCGGGTCATTGACCCGGCCGGGTCAACCCGATTGACCCGGTCTCTATAAAGTATTTATTTTATTTTAATAAAAACTATGTTTATATAATAAGATACTAAATATTTATTGTGAGATTCAATATTATTAACACTTAAATGTGCAAATTTTGTATACAAAACATTTATTTTTGTAACTTTTATGTATATTTATATGTCAAAAATACTATATATATAATTTTAAAATTTTAAAATTAATTATCCGGTTCAGCAATTGACCCGGTGACCCGGCGGTTGAACCGGTGACCCGGTGACCCGGAGACATGCCCAGGTCGATTCCGGGCCGAGTTTAAAAACTATTGGAAGAATGAAAGTTTACTATAGAATTCTTTTTTGGATTTATGGATCATGGCATAATCAATAATACGAAATGCAAACTCACAAGTCACAACTATCCATCGGCATCAATCATTATACTATTACTTTTACGATATAATAGTAAGTGCAACAGAGGATTAAAACCGAAGCCCTCAGGGTGAACAATACCAACGGCAAGAGCACACAAGTAACAATGTCAACTATAGAAATGTGTAACAGCTAGCATACATCCGTTTACAGATGAAAAGGCAAACAGATTCTTAACATCATCATTATTCAACTGAGCGAAGAAACAAGCACAAGTCCCGAAGAAAGTTGCGAATATTGCAGGAAAGTAAATAAAAAAAAAGGGTCGTTTGTAGTGAGTCCATGGAGCAAAACGGTTATTAAAAAATGACAGCAACATAAGTTACCAGATGTCAGGACGGAGCTCCCCAGTAGCAGGAGGCATCCATCTTCCCGAGTGGTAAACACTCTCCCCAACCTTCCAACCGGGAACGTCTTTCATGATTCTTGCCTCCTCTTCCAGATATTTCTTCCATTCTTTCACAAATCTGACATTAAAATGATAGGACAGAAAGAAGATATAAGTGCAGAAAAGTATATTTGACTTCAGAATATGAAATCCTCCACAAGGTTTGTTGTTTTCCTGACAAGCATTAATTCCATCATTCTTGGAAAAATAAAAGGTAAATATGAGGGGGTTATTGTGAATCTGAGCCTAAATAAAAACTGAGAAACAGTTTAAGACAGGTATACACTAGCTATAAAAAGTCACCTTTCGTCCTCTTCAGCTTGAAGCATAGGCAATATGGCCCTCCGAGCAGCATATTTTTCTTCCTTCAGTGCCCTATTCATAATGACAAAACTTATCAAATCTGATCCATGTTCACCGAAATCAAACACATTTGTGACATAGTAGTTCTACATGAGTAAAATCCAGGATAAGATGAGAAGAAATTTCGTAATGAACGATCAGAAAAAGAACAGCGGTTCCTCGTAAGCATAACAAAATATATTCTCAAACCAACCAACATAAACATAAAAAATTAAGTTGGATGCCTCCAACTTCATGAGCTTAAGCCTACAATGTGCATTAAGCTTGTCAGGAATGGTGGTAAAAAATCACTTCCATTTACAAAAGAATTCTGCACATGTGATATTTACTTGTTTATCTCAACTTCAGATGACCTGTTCAGCTAAATCCAGTCCCCATTTTCAAGTTGCGAATATCGAGAAGAATTCCTGGGGAACTACCTTACATAGATTAGTACACTTAATATATTGCAAGGTGAAAAACACATATACAAGACGAAAGCTTTTCTTCCTTTCTGATGAGCAATTACTTTACGTTAAGATTCAATAGACGAAAGCATCACTTTTGTGGCAGCCATCTTTCCAAAGCTTTCAGTTGCTCGCTTCAGAGTAAATTTTAATTCCACTAAAAATGATGATATATATCGTGTAAACCTCTCAGAAGATTTTGGACAAGTGAGACAACCATCTGCATCAGGCACCCACACATTGATCAAGTATGACCTAAAGTCTAGTGCATAAAGACTGTGCGTAGATAAACCTTTTCAAATCCTCCCTCCCTAAACTTTGTGTCATATTTGATGGTGCCATTCTGAATGGGGATTCACTGTTGGAAGCTCATGTTGAGCTGGACACAAAAACAGGCATACTTTTTAATCTACAGAATCGCAGGGCAATAGTAGCAGTCAATTTTCCTTGGGTAAGATTAGAAATCATTTCACCAAACAGTTCCCTATCAAATGAAACATATGACAAAGCTCGATTATTGTATACATCTGTGGCACTTTATCAATTATCAGAATCCAAAATCCTCACACAAAACTGAAATATATTATGTTGTTATTGGCCATGAAAAGATGGCTACAGTCACATGGGTTCCATGCAATTCCACAATACTTAACAAAGCATCATATGTAGTTGCTAAGAATTAGACATTTTTAAAAGTCCCAGCAAGGACTAATCATCATTCCAAAATAACATAAGCCCCATCGATAATGTATCCTACACTCAGGCACCTCTATTTTCATGTACACACTGTTTGCTGATGTTCTTACAAAATCAAACACATACCTAATACAACAACTCAATGTACTAAAACTACCTAAAAATCAAGTGGAAGAAACCTAAATGACAATACAAAATAGTTAAAGGGTTAAAGACCCCATCATCTCAACCCATAGATGTGGTGGTTACTGTATCTGCTCTATTGATAAAAAAAAATAGAAAAGGGAAACAATAATAATCCCTTTTCTTCAGAAATTGGGACAAACTAATCATCAATTTGATCATCCTCAACTAGTGAGAATTGTTAAAAATGTGCCTCCACAACTGGATATTTGGAAGAAAATAAACATAATAGATAAAGAATACAGAAGAGACCTGCGGATCTTGTTGCCTTTGCCGACCTGGTACATCCCCCATGAGAAGGCCCCAAAAGCGGCGAAGAAAATGGCCATGGCACTTGGTCCCGTGTTAGGGATCCGCCGAGCGAATCGGACTGGAGCGAACCCGCCCGGCGGCGGACCGTCCTGCAAAACCGGCATATCCTTCACGCTCGCCATCCCGGCCTTCTTCCTTATCACAGCCTCCGTCATTTCTAGATTTAGTACTGTTTATTAAAATTTTCAATGCTTTGTATACGCACTCGTGGTGACCGGAAATGAAAGAGAGGTCTATTCTTCTACTGTGATAGTTTCTCCAATTATCGTGCAATCTCCTCCTTTTTAACTCGCTGTTTGTTCTCTTTTGAAAACTAGTAAAATACACGTGCGATGCGATGCACGTGGTGACGAATATATTTGACCAATTAAATTTAATAAGATCAATTAATTTATTTATTAAACATAGTATTACAATAACAAAATAAATGTTGAACAAATAAACTCGTAACGTTTTTTTTTAAATAACATAGTGATACTATAACATAAAAAGATTTAAATAAAACATATTTTAGTCATTATATAAACTACTACATTACTCTCTCTCTCTCTCTCTCTCTCTCTCTCTCTCCTCCCCCTCCCCCCATATCGACAAATTAGTACATACACCATGAGGTGGGAACAAATTTCATCTCCAAATATTCCAAAATCATGTACTTCTCCAGAGGCGCTAAATTATTTTTTGAAATCATCACATTACATGAAAGTATGTACTCTAAAGTAATTGCGCATATGATCGAGCACAATACACAATTAAGATTGTAAATATTCCTATAAAAAAGTGACGACTTATTCTAATATTAAAAAATATTTTGATCAGAATCAAACATTCCCTTTTCAGTGTTATCTATTTGAAAGATACACGAACTACATAACCTATTATTTGCAAATCATTGAACATTTTGCATTTTAGAGTTGTTTATCATAATACTTTCACATTGTCCATTGCAAATGGAGCTGGAAGAGTCATTGCTGACAATTCTCCTGACATAGTGCTAAAAATGGACTAGATCAAAATGGCTCAATTAAATTCTAGTGCTTCTTCTATTAGTGAAGTTTCTAGAAAAAATATATCAAACGACGCAATGCACCTTGGGTCGCTACGGAAACAGCCTCCTTGTATAATTACAAGGGTAAGGTCTGCGTACAATTGACCCCCCAGACCCCAACCAGTTGGGAATATACTAGGTATGTTGTTGTTGTTGTATCATAATACTTTCACATTCGCTCGTATTTGCAATATTTATTTCTAATAACTTATTTAATGCATTTATCGTCTAACTTTTTGCATCATTCAAGATAAATATCCTTTCTTGATTGTTCAATAATAATAAGAGAGTGGTATAAGAGAGCTCGAGGTGGTATAAGAGAGCTCGAACATGGTGACCGAAATACAACAGACGTAAATTCAAATTTTAAAATTCAAGACTTCAGGGAGTGGTAATTCAGTTCTTGTTTTTCGACCTCAGAGGCAGGTCTCTCGATTCTTGATTCTCAGCGTTCGACCTTAGAGGCAGGTCTCTCGATGCTCGATGTTTGACTTTCGACCTCAACGGTCTCTCGATTCTCGGCGTTCGACCTCAGAGGCAGGTCTCTCGATTCTCGATTCTCGGCGTTCGACCTCAGAGGCAGGTCTCTCGATTCTCGATTCTCGGCTTTCGACCTCAACGGTCTCTCGATTCTCGATGTTCGGCTTTCGACCTCAACGGTCTCTTGATTTTCGGCGTTCGACCTCAGAGGCAGGTCTCTCGATTCTCGGTTCTCAGCTTTCGACCTCAACGGTCTCTCGATGCTCGATTTTTGGCTTTCGGCCTCAATGGTCTCTCGATTCTCGGCTTTCGACCTAAACGGTCTCTCGATTCTCGGTGTTCGACCCCAGTGATGGGTTACTTGATTTTTGATATTAGTGGTCATTCGGTATTCATTTGGGGTCCCGATGCTCAATTGGAGGATTGATAACTATTTGGTGGTCGAGGATTTACTTAAATGGTAACCTCAGTGGCAGGTCGACAGAAACAATCCGAATAAGAATCTTCACTCTTGGATCGAGTTATGCTTACTCGACCAGAGTGGGGGGGACTAGATGATATAGGATATTATACTAGACCCGGTTTAATGGATAAAGCGGATACATATTGGAGGATAAGTCCACTAAGATATCTAAGCCCAACGAGAGGGGTCAAGCCCAACTTGGGCCCAAAAGGTACACCCCCCCTATAAAAGGGGGTCAAGGTACCTCATTCTCTCATCCTCTATTCATTGTTTACTACACACTCTCTCTCTTGATCTGAGCACTGACTTAGGCATCGGAGGCCCGACGCCGGGGCCACCCCCGGCGTTGGGTTCTGCAGGTACGGGGGCCGGTTCGAGTTGAAGGAGCCCGGGTGAAACTTATTCACTTCATTGGCGCCGTCTGTGGGACCTGTAAAAAAAGTCAAGCGGAGTTCCGACTGAAAATTTGAAAAACCTCCTTCTTCTCCACCGGCCGCCGCCACCGCCGGCCGCCACCTCCGTCGCTGGCCGCCGAAAAATGTGCTTCGATCGAAAAATCGTTCACATCATTGGAAAGATCTCTTCGAGGTGAATCTACCCTTAAAATTTCGTGCAAAAAATCATTCGGGAAGACCTTCAATTTTGGGGTCAAAGATTTCAGATCTAGGGAAAAATTTGTCAAGATTGAGCATTCAAATGCGTTTTCCCGACGATCCGGGAGGGCTATGGAAAATCCGAGGGTACCACTGGAATCCTCTCGCCGAGGCAAAGCTCCAGCTACCGACCATTACCGAGTGTCGCCGTGCGCCGCCGCCCAAAGTTGTCCGATCTGAAAAAGGCTTACGCCATCGCGAAGCTCTCGTCAAGCTTGTTCTACCCATAAAATTTCGAGCAAAAATTCCTTCGGGAAAGGCATCAATTTTGCGGTCAAAATATTTGGATCTAGATTGTTTTTGGTCAACACCGACCATCTTCTTCAATTTTTCCGTCGACTTCCGGAGATTCACACCTAGCTGAGGAGGCCACTGGAACCGCCTTGTCAAGGCGCTCGTATCGACGATCACGTCTGCCGGAGCTGACGAATTTCTCCGGCTGTGTTTTAAGTCCGGCGAGATAAACTGCCGTGTTCGCAGGCTCACAGTTCAGCCATGGCGGATCTTGGCAGGTGGCCCAGAGAGGAGATGGCCCGAAAACCAGCCCAGCGTCCGTGGTCCGCGTCGCAAGGAGGTCCAGCCCGCATCCGACCCAGAGGAATCAGCAACGGCCCAGTTCGCGATGGCCCATCATGGAGGGAGTGGAAAGGTACGCGGGCCGCGCCCAGCCCACGAGAGCCCGACCATGAAGCCCGCGCTCCACCTGCTCCCAGCCCGTGCCAGAGCCCGACGCTAGCCCGAAAAGAGCCCACTCTGCTCACTGCTTGTGGCCCGCGCTCCAGCCCGCGTACTCAGCCCACAAACCTCGACCCAGTGCTCAAGTGCGGCCCGTCAATGCTTAATGCGCGGCCCAACAGCCTAGAAATGGTCTAGAATGGTGTCAATTTGGTCCAACAGCTCCATTTTTGTGCCCAAGATTAATTCCGGACGATTAAACATGGACGGTAAGGTAGTTTGAGATATGATTCTCGCAACGGAGGTATGTGACTATTTTATATTTGGAGACTTGAGGATTTATATTGGTGAAAATTGGAGAAATTGCTTGATTTAAATTGGTAAAAATTTGGAGACTTGAGGATTTAAATTGGTGAAAATGGAATAAATTATTAGATTTATTCGTTGAGATTATAAGATTACATAGGGAGTATTATTTGATCTATCCATGGAGCTTATTGGGTTCATTTGTGATATTAATGGATGGGTTCGTATGGTGATATTTGATATGTTCGTGAATACATTTGTTTTATTCATGGAGGATTATTTGACTTGCTCGAGCGATTATTTGATTTATTTATGGATGATTATTTGGTGTGCTGGAGCGATTAGTCGATTTATTCGTGAAAAATTATTTGACCGTTCGGAATATTATTGGATATTATTGGGAGTATTCGCGGAGTATTATGTGAATTGTTCGTGGGTATTGTTTGATATGTTGGAGGAGGCATTAGTTGATATATTTGAGGAGAATTATTTGATTTGTTTGAGGAGTTATGTGATTTATGCGATGAGGATATTTGATATATTCGTGAGGATTATTTGACTAATTTGTGGAGCATTGTTTGATTTGGCTGAAGGGAATTATTTGACTCGTTCAAGGAAATATTTGATTCGTTTGTGGAGGATTATTTGATTTATCATGAAGCTTATTAGAGTTATTTGTAGAGTATTATTTGATTTAAATGGAAAATTTGGAGACTTGACGATTTAAATGGGTGAAAATTGACGAGGTATTGGATTTGATCGTGGAAATACTTAATTTGCTCGTGGAGACATTGTTTGATTTATTCGTAAAGATACTATTTATTCATGGGAATTACTTGATTATTTATGGAGATATTGAATTTTCCAATGGAGGTATTTGATTTGTTCGGGTAGATATTATTTGATTTGATCATGAGAATATTTAATTTATTCATGGAGAATTATTTGATTTGCTCGAGCGATTATTGGTTTTATTTGAGGATGATTATTTGATTCGCTCGAGCGATTATGGGATTTATTTGTGGATGATTGCTTGACTTAATTGAGGCGATTACTTGATTAGTTCGAGGAGATATTATATATTTTGCTCGAGGCATTCTTTTGATTTGTTCGTGGATATACTTGGTTTGATCGAGGAATTATTTGATTCGATTGTGGATATATTCAATTTGATTGTGGATACATTTGATTTGTTCGTTGATATATTTGTTCGCAAATAATGCGGGTCGTGGTTTCAAATAGAGGATATTTTAGGATTGTGTTTATCGTGTTTTTTTTGTGCACTTATCTATGGGCTCGATGAGTTGGATTAAAATTATATGATTCGATATCTTGATATGTTCGGAGCCTCTCATTTGAATCTTCATGTGAAATTGTGGATTTTGTTGAAATGGATTATTCGTAACTTTTATGCATGTCATTGCTAGAGCATGTCTTAAATCAAGGAGATGGTGATTTTGGTATTTGATATCTTGTTTTTCTTTTGGGCGTGGAGAAATTGCAAAATTGATAACTTGAATATAATGTGGA